GATCACCACCATCTTCAAGAGCATCGTGGAAGGATTGTGGAACATTACAGGACTTGCTAATACCAAAACCAGACTCTGAAACTGAAAGAGGGGCATGAGTAGGATTAGAAAAGTTGCTGGCAAGAGCAGTGACATAAGAACGAAGCGTCGTGGTCATCTCTATAGGCAAGATGACCACGGTTATTTTCTGGGGCGGCTTGGCGAGCAACTTCAAATTTGCGAGGCGATCTGTCGGGCGTAGGCGCATCGTCGGTTAGGAGACGACGTGCGAACAGAGACGTCGTCGTCGTCTTCGTGTAAGGCGAGCAGTCAGACGCCGTCGGGCTGGAACGACTTGCGAGCTTACGAAGGAGCGTCGTCGACTGAGAAAAAAGACGGGCGAGCGTATCATGAAAACGTCGTCGTGGGAGACGACAGAGAAAGGGAGTGAAGCAGATAGTTTCAACGCCGGAAATCACCATCGGGTGAAACTTTAGCAGAGCCCGCTATCGACGCCATGATATTCGGTGATACTGAAGTGCCGAAAAGGAAGAGCGACTTCAAGGTGCAAGAGCTCATCCTAAGAGATGACTCGAGTTTTTTGCGAAACCCTAGCTTGCCATATGAAGATAAAGAAACCCTCTTAGTAGGAAGTGCACCTTTGTATTGAGAGATACTTTACAAAGGATATCTCTTTAAATAAAACGATGAAGTGCAAACCCGACTTTACCATTATATTGGTTTATCATCTAAGTCTTAGAAGCTTTTGTCAGTGAGGCTATTTCTTATCATTACCTCTTTGACTTCACATCAGAGATCTCAAATGTAGTTTTAGTAAGGCAATTTTATGGGGTTGACTGTGGTAAGCGAGATTAAGTGTTCCTTTACATGGTTGAGGCTACACTTAGTACTCTAATTGGAGACTTCAATATTACAATCCGGTGTTTAACACTTGACAAAGTCTCAATTTCCTTGTCCAGCATCGTCTTCTTAATCTTTACACCGGCTTCCATGCCTATAATTGCCTTCTTCAATAAGTTAATCTAAAAAATTAATTCTTTCTCATGTAATTTTTCCATTGAGCTAGTTGCTTCAATATAACTTGTCCTCTCAACAGTAATAGTCTTAACCATTTTCTCTCCATCAACTCTATCAAGCTCAATATTTTAGGGCTCAAGTCTTCTGTCTATTTAGATGGAGAACCATTATTCAAATCTTTCTCTTCACAGAGAACTATTGAACTATCAAGTTCTCTTCAGAATCGAACTTCTCAATACTCGTCATTTGCGTTTCTTCAGGATGGTGACCACATAGAATCGGTCCTCCACAATAGCATGACTTGTGGTGATTTCAATTAGATTAGCAGGAACTTGATATATTAACTTCTCATGAATTGAAGAATCTTGAGTTGTCCATACTATTTTCTTGGGCAGAGTTGACATTAATTGACAGGTGAAAGCTTTGGATTAGAAGTGTTGATTTAGGTGTTGTCCAACAAATCTCATTGGATTAGAAGTGTTGATGTAGGTGTTGTCCAACAAATCTCATCACCTAAGTTTGAGAAGCAAACATAAGGGTGTAGAATTCACCACCTTTGCCCTTATTGGAAGAAGTGATAATATTATCTTTGATCATTGGAGCAATTTCTGGAGCCTGTACAGCCTCTTCAGATTTGTTGCTTTCTTATTTGTAGCCTTGCTAGCATCAACCTTTTTTGAAATTATCTTGTCCAAATTGAGAAATTGGATTCTCCTAATTTTTGTATCTTTAGCTCTTTTGATAGGATAACGTCTATTAAAGATGCACCCTTGATAGCTAGATGTGATTATCTTTTGACAACTTTCTTATTGAAGTCGTGCAAATTATGATGGACATCAGAATGAGGCTCTTTTGAATTTCTTCATTTTAGAAGAATATTGGCTCTATACAACAGAATATTGGCTCTTAATTCCACTACGTGGGGTCGGCTACATGAATCCTTTTAAGAATATTGGCTCTATGAAAACTCTAAATTAAGGATTACAGAAATATCAAAGAAAAAAATGTTGAGAGAAGAAAGGTTTAACTTAGAACTTATACACTGATCTTACATGTGAGCTTTGTAAAGATGCCCTCCAAGTATCTCAAAACTACCGAAACAATGACTATTAATAAGGGAGTTGATAAGAGAATCAGGTTCATAAAAGGGATAACAGAATTAAGGAACTAGTGTATACCGCTTTGGTCAGATCAATCAAGTAATAATGCTAACATGGATTGGCTTTTAAATACTAATGATTGACCAGCTGACTTGGCCACCAAGAGCTTATATCTCTTGTCCTATGAAATCACTTAAAGCCTTCAAACAAACAAGTTGTCTGATAACCAATAAGTCGCTTAATGATCAACAAGTCACCAAATCCACCTCTAAAACTTGGTATTTAATCAACTAGCATAAGCTGCATGGCTATTTACCCAGAGAACTTGTTAGTTTGACTTGAACGTGACGTCCTTAGTGGAACTCGCAACACCTGCAATATGGGGAGACAACTCTTCCATCCACTACATGATTAACAATAAGACTATAGAGCAGCCACTCAGTTGTCCCAACTAACAGTTTTCCTTTATATTGCACCTTTATCCACTCCTTTATATAGGGTTCAAGTTTATAATCGCGGGGAATAGCAAAATTAAAATATGAGAACTCTTTCTTTGTTTTCTTTCTGTTTTTTAGTCAACTGAATTCAAGTTTTGTCTATCCCACTTTGTCTAGTCTAAGTGGTTAATCAAGCTTTTTATAAATGACTCGCTAAAGGAATTCTATCATATCAACCTCTCTCTCTTCTCACATCTAAGTGTGGCTCGCTTTCTCAAGTAAGGTGAATGTCATCTTGATCCAGATAAGTTTGAATTCAACATTATGTTTTAAGAAAAAAGTGTAATTCTGAAGAAGCACAATTCATTTAAATTGTCTTGTACTGAACTTCTTTTAGGGATTTTACTTGTTTTAATGCTTGGAGTAGGAACTAGAATAAATCTATTTGGCAAAAAGTAATACTGGTGAGTGATTGATCACTCGAGAAAGAAATTACTCGAATTCTCATGCATGAGAACATGTGCATTATTTCTTCATTGAAGCAGATTGCATGCTTAGCTAACTATAATCTCCTTGATTTTTTGTTGTGGTCTATTTAGAATTGGGTTTTAAGGATCACAGTTAGTTGAAAGTTCATAATAAATTATCCCTCTCATTTGAATGAGTACATTTGATTAGGGAGATCCGTTAGATCAATGTTCTGGAAGGCTTAAGTAGGTAAGGAGGGGTGTTTAACTCTATAATGATCCCATGGTTTCTTTGTCCATGGTACATTTGGTGATTAGTCTCAATTTATTAGACATTTTTGGCTATGATGTGAAGACATCCATGCAAGTACCATTGAGTTACCCCTGCAAAGAGCTTTACAAAGAATCAATCGATATAAATGTTTTTAATGTTTTGCTGAGTAAACTTTGGCTAGCTCAAAAAGATTACGAGGCAATTGCGAGTTGAAGAAATATGATAGATTTTGCGAGGTATTACTTCGACCTCTCTTGTTTGAGATCTAAGCTTATGTGGCCTACAAAAGCTTGTTGAAGCATGGTTTACCTAGAACATAGCATATAATAGAAGGAATCCGCAAACATGAAGCCATGGCAATAGGATCTCAGTCGGATTTGGTGCTCTAGTATTTAAATATGGATTTTGTTTATCTTGCCAACTTCCTTGATTTAGCAAAACCTAAGATTTTAAAAAGCTCTTAAAATTATTTGGCTATCCTAAGGAAGCGATTGGATTTATTAAATCCTTGATGTTGGGTTGCTTTTTCTCTAGATTTAACAAATCTACCTTTTCAAACAAACCCTAAATTTTGTTTACATTATTTAATTTAAATCATGTCTATATTCTTCATAATTTCTAAATCATTTCTAAATGGGTGTTTTCAGAGAAAATGGTTGAATTTCATCTACAATTTCATCTAAAGATAGTTAAATTTCAACTGTTCAACTCCACAACCTTACCCTCTCATTAGTTTGGAGGAAGTACTAATGATGATAATAAATTTCGAGCAAGATAGAAATTAAAAAAAAATTACAAAATTAACTCTTTATGCATTATTTTAATAATGTTTATATCTTAGCATAGTTGCATGCAAAGTATATAATTAGATACACGCATCACTTTAAAATGAGAAATTAGAAGTATTTATAGTTAAATAATCAATGATAATTTTTGGCATCCGGGCCTTTCATTGAATTTCTGAATAAAATATAAACATTTAGGCTCACTTTTAATTGGTGCCGCGTAACCCAACTAGCCTGGTGTAGCCTGTTAACATATCTAAATTATGTGATGAGCATTTAAGGAGTTATGGGCCATCTGAGTTAGTTGAAGTTCACTGCTATAATCTTTATTAAAGTGGCCATGCTTTATGCCTGAGAGCCCATTAAAAGATTTGCACATTCATTCCTATCAACAATAATTAGATTTAATTGATGATGAACAACAATTTCAGTAATGAATGACTCCAAAAGAAGCCAAAATGCAAGGGTTATTAAGTGAGCTTGACCATCACCAAATGGAACTGTAAAATATTAAAGGAATGAAATTTGGAAATGACTTGATGAAAACTCAACCCCAGTTGGTCAAAATTTTCAGTTTTAATTAGTTCTCTGGGTAATTTTGCATTCCCTACTTGTTACTTTTGGTTCAAATTTTGCACTTACTGAATTAACAATAATTTATTTAGAGAATTAAGAGGTTGTAGCTCACGCGGATTGCAATTGTTCCCTATTGCAAAGGTTCAGCTAAAAGCATGTTTTTGAGTTTATTACATGAAAAATAGAAATGCAATAAAGGAGTAATTGTCTCTTTGGTGCTTTTACATGCTTCACAATTTTGCCTCACTAATGACAGCGATCGCGGCTGCAGTGTTTTTTCATCTGCGGATTTTTGCATTTGTTTTTCATTGACTGAGGTTGACTTTATTGTTTAATGTAAATAGGAGCTGTTGGAAATTGTGATCATGAATCCGTCTGTGCAGAAACTTCAGGTTCCATCTCTTTGAACTTACTAATTTATATACTCTCTTAACATCGCAACTCAGTTTTTCAGTTTGATTTTGGCCTAGGAAGCTGTAAGGCATCATAATATAAAAGTCACGTCGTACTTGATTTCATGTTTAATGCTTATACAGTGTGCTTGATTAATGATTTTGATTTTTAATCTCGTATAGCATTATGCTTAGACATGTCATCTATAGTTTGAAACAATGCTGATAATGACATCACCACAATAGTAAGAGCATAACAATTGGCATTCAGATTTTAGGTATTTATTATTTTGAGTTTGATTTCAAATTGGCATTTATTTACCAAATTTACAGGTTAAATTGTTCGAAAAAACAATCTGACATTAAACAAGCTCCAACTCATAAGATTATGAAAGTTTGATGATTCTTTCATCTCCATCACGAAGGCCTATTCTGTTAAGGCACACCAAGGTGAAAAACCTCCGTGCTTTGCTAGTTCCTTTGAACTTCTTTAGTCATTCTTGTTGACATTGTTTTCCTCAATTTTTTGTGCAGGTGTGATGTATAATTAGCTACTTGTTTTCTTTCATATAGATCAAACTGTGTACTAGGTCTCGTATGAGTAGCCTTATCTTGGTAGTTTTACGGTTTTTTAACTCCTTACATAGCTAGCACAAGATGTTTGATTGTGGTTACAAGGAAGAGTCCATTGACGGGCACAAAGAGCAATTTATAAGGTGTGTTTGTTTAGTGGCACAGAAACTTGTCTGGTTTTTAACTCTTCCTGCTATTATTTCTAAACAGCTTGTATTTGGAAGCTTAATGCATGCTCTATTCTGACAGGCTTAGTCATTATGGCACTTTATTTGTTTTCTTTAATCATGGCGACACTTCCCTTGTTAGCACATTATGGGTGCTTATGCACATGATTTGTGTGCGTTTGGGATTCAATGTTTAAAAAAAGTAGAAACACAAAATAAAGTGCAACTTGTGTGTGTATTCTGTATTCTTACATGGAAATTAGGCAGTTGATTGTGTGCACATGCTTGTGGGTATAATTGTGTGTTGCGTTTAATGTTTAAAATATGAGAGCACAAAGTTAATCATGTAACCACTAGCAAAAAGAACTTAACTTCAAAGCTTGAAGGGTAAGCTTTCTGAAGTAAAATGTGAAATTTCTGGAGAACTATGGAACAGCAACATTTAGATATTAAGTAAAATATGAAAACAAATGCAATGGTTCAGACACAAGCACACACCGACAGATTTATATCCAAGCATTCATAAATTAAAAAAACAAATGTTTACAAATACTGTGTTTCTGAAAAAACATCAATCAGAAGGAAATATAATATTAAAGGTTGTTTATTTAATAGAAGTGAGGTATACACTCAACACATGGTAACGTTGTAATGCATGCCTTCATAATGGGTTGCCTCCTAAATTGTTGGTGTAAAGCTAATGTTCTTCTTGCTTGATAACGTTTTCATTATTCAATTGACATAGTGATTCAAAACCTCATGATAATTTGAAGTGGAGTGGAAAGCATAAGCATGAATGTTATGGTTGGCACCTGACTGTCATAGAGGATAGAAAAAATTTAAAAAAGAAAACAAAACATATAATGAGAGAAATATGATTAATAAATTCAAAGGGAAGATAATAACCCCCATTGTCCCCACCCTTTCTTATGCCTTCCAAGGAGGTCATGCATAAAGCAGGCTTGTTCCTTCCTACTTCAATAATTAAGAAGGGGTATGCTCTCTCTCTCTCAGTCTCTCTCTTCCTCTCTGTCTCTCTGTCTCTTTCTCTCTCTCTCTTTTCCTTTCTCATGCAAATATGAAGGTTCCCTCTTAGTTTAAAGAAATAAGAGGAGGAACTTTCCCATCTTTTAATTATATTAGTAATACGTTGTAAATTAAATGAAGCATCTCTTCACCCTCTTCTATGTAACTTTTTAAAGGGATGTTTTATCAGGTTAATCGGAGAATAATGGCAAGTGCTATCATAATGAAGCCACAAAGACACCTTCAACTCCAAGATGAGGATAATATACCCCTCCATTTTGCCTATTTTTCAATGTTGCCTTGTTTTTGTTCCCTCTTGGAGCTAAGCTAATGGCAATACCAATGCTTTCATTTCTTGGCATAGGCAAATAGGTAATCATCGCCTTAGCATCATCACTGGAGATTTCTTCAAGGTCTAACAATCTCAGTAAAGCGAATGCTTCTCTCAAATCCATTTTTCTTGCTGTGTTTAAGCTCATATGCACTAAGTTGCTATCCTTTGTAGCACTGCCCATGTCCATTTTTGTTGGCTTAAGGGAATGGTAATATTTATTCCCAAAACTTCACCATATAAGGGCTAGTAGAAATGCAGTAAATGACCTTTTGGAAGTTTTGGACTTGGCCATAATGTTGCCTCACCATGGATATCATGTGGAAGCATTATCACAATCTATGAGGGTGCTCAAAGTTATGAAATTTAACCACTTTTAAGACTTTGCTGATATGTACATTAAATTAAGATCCGACATAATATTAGAGTTTTGTTGGAGCAAAATAAAAGAATTATATTAAGGTAAGAGTTGAACACAATTACCTCCACATCTTCCCGATAAAGTCAAAAAATTGAAGTTCCTAAGAAGCTATAGTCTTCACACACTAAAAATTTGCAGATGCTGATTACATGCGAATGTCTATGCATGTTGGTTGGATTCTTTTTCAACCCTAAAATGATCCAACTCAGATTAAGTTGAGTTCAGTTGGATTAATGTCAATTTGACTAGAAATGTGCATTCTGACCTGATATAAGAATCTTAACATGGAAATACAATTAAAAGTTTTTATTATATCCAAGTTTTTATTGTAGTGAATAAGAATTCTCTTACTAGCTTGGTTATGTTCAAGATTAGAATTGAATAACTCTTTTTTTTTTCTTACCTTGAGAACTTGAAAGCTAAACATATAAACTTTTGTGGAATTTAATTCTGGTTATTATTTATGATAATTGACCCAAATAGAATTATGCATCCTCCATACAATGTTTTGCCTAACGACACACATAATTATGCCTTCCTTGATGCATAATTATTTATCTCTCAAGGCATATGAGTCAAGCCTTTCACATCTATTCTATAGAATATATAATTAGTCAAGCTTGACATCTCAATTCCACATGGAACCCTCTCATTGTGATGTATCATTAAATGGTACTTATCAAAAACACATCAGTAGTTTGTTGACCCAACTTGTGAAATTTGGGGAGGGCTGCCATACATTTATGGAATTGTTGAAATATCCTAGAATTATTTAAAAATTACAAATTTACTACCATATGTTAAAAAGTTCACATTCCAAGAATTATATGAAATATCTGACGCTATTCCATATTTGTTGTGAAGTTAGCAAAATGTAGAGAAATCCTAAACAATTCCAGAAATTTCATGGCCTCCAAAATGTCTTTAGTCCATTGCAAAGTGGATAAAAATGTGAAGTTCTTGTTCTCCCATTCATAAAAATATTTGGAATAATCCAAAATCATCATAAAATATTTAGAAAAATATCATGAAATTTGATAAAAATGGGATAGATGGTGTTGGAAAAGTATACGTTAAATCCCTTGCCCTCCAACTGTAATGTTGACATGATCGATTGATCAATGAGGCTATGACCTTCTAGAATATTTCAACACATATTTTTCCTTTCATTTTGTTAGTTAGGGTAAGATGGCTATTATCTTTGTTTTAATCAATCATAGTTGATCAAGTAATAAAAATCATGCTCTTGGTAGTCCCAATCAGATATAATCATCTTTGGTGGCAAGTTAGTCTAAAAGGGAGAACAATAAGAATTGTAGACTAATGCAATTATTGTTGCCTCAATTTGCATGCCAACTCAGTATCAAATATTGAGGCAATCAAAACAGAATAATATGTAATGCTAGGCTATCAATCACAAATAATGGTACTAGACGAGCCTTATCAGTTTATTTCGCTAAAAGTTTTTCTTCTCATTTACAAAGTGATATTCTAGTGATGCTGATCATCAATCATCATGAATAATGCCTTCTCATACTTTATAAGTGAAGAAACCCTTAAAGATATAACTAAGGCTATTCACATTCGAATTTTAATTTCATTAGAGCAATTATTGAGCAAAATGAATGAAAAAAAATAACCAAGGATAAGTTTCTAACACTCAAATGAACATGTCTGACTCCGACTATTCACCTCCCACTTGGAAAAGCATCACATGCCTTTGACATTTCGTAAAAAAAGTCAAGACTGTAATGACTCTTTTGATTGACTTACATGGTTATTTCATTTGATTTTCATTTAATTTGTTTCAACCATTTTGCAATATGCATTAAATGTTTTGTGTGGATGTGATGTATGAAATCTTTTCAAAGCATGTTATAATGCTTATGAGATAGGTAATAGCCCACCTTTATAATTTGACTTCACACCTCGAGTAATCATCTTCCTTTGCAAAATCCATTATTCTTCTTTGAACTTACTCCTCTTAAATCAAAATCCTAATTATTTTTTTATATTTAAACTTACTATAGAGTGCAAATATTTTTACATATTGAAATTAGTACAAACTTACCTTGTCTATTTCTTGCGAAGTTAATTGTTCTTTTCGAACCTATTGATTCATATACTCTTCAACTTTCAATTTCTAATATTAATTTATAAAATTTTCTAGAAATATTTAATAAATTTTAAATTTAATCAACTATTACTGTTATCAGAAATTAATAATAAACTTTCATGTCATTTTCTTTTCCTCATTTGCTCAATGTTGAAGTCCGTCCTTACTCTCTCAGTCTCTTGTTCGAAATCCCAAACAACATTACTTGTTGCTTCTGCTCCGGTACTTGCTAAGATTGCACGTCATTGTTCTCCTTCCGCATGCGATGCTTTACTATTGGTCTCATGCTCGGGTCAATGACATTGGCTGCTGCTCATCTTGCACTTTCGCTTAAGTGGGCTCATTGGCTTAAATGCTGACATGTGCGTTTGTCCTCGCTTTGTACCACTTGGCATGCGTGGCTAGTTTCGTCTCAGCTTTCCTTTGCTTGTCTTGCTTGCACAAGAGACATCAATTCTTGCATGCGTGCTTGCCACTTCTTTTCCTTCTCTCTGTTCATTCTTTCGTACTCTATTCATTCGGGACAAATCCCGTCACATTTTCCATCACCGAATTGATGAAACCGGCTCATCAATTCTTATAATTGACTAAGTGAATTCAGAATTATTTTTGCTATTGTAAAATTGGTATTTTTACAGTCACTAAGGAAATTTCTTTTAATCGATTAATCATACCTAAAACATGCTCATGAGCCATGTATCAATCATACTGAAATTTTCACAACTTTCCCGATAGCCATACCTTTGATACATTGAGCCATATGGTTAATCTGATCCAGGCATAAAGCCTTATGTTAGTGAAAATCTGTCATGAAATTGACATTAAAATATTTCTACTTGTGCCTTCATGGGCTCACCTTGGCCATGGAAACCAAAGAACACCAACAAGGGGTCTATTGGTATATAGTTTGAACAAGGGAATTGTGGGATTCTAACAGAATTTACCACCTTCCCTCCATCCCCATCCCCATCCCCATCCCCATCCCCATTCCTCTCTCCATGTTTTAGGTCTCCACCTCTTAACATGGAGTGACACATCTCCATATTAGAAGCAATATGTAGAAAAAATGAGAGTAGAACCAAAATTACAATAAATTCTCATATTATCCTCAATGGGGGGTTCTTTTTGCAGTTGTGAGAAGTAATTAATCATGGGCAAACTGACAATAGAAATTTCTCAAAAAGGGAGCAGATTATCTTGAAACTGCATCATGTGCTTTTCATATGCATACTGATAATTCATCGAGTTGTGATCTTTTTTGGGACTCACACATTAACTGTATAAGCATCGTAGGAATGTTGAACCAAATAGCTTCATTAAGGGAAAAGGGATGGATTTGAGAGTTGGGGGATAAGGGTGGGAATAATCTAATTATAGAAGGATGGCATAGAAACGGCCAAACTATGATTATATTGAATAGAGTTTTTTCTAAAATAATCATTGTTAATTTTGTTTGAAGTTCTATGCTTGAAATAAAATTTTAGTAAAACACGTGATGTAGTTTAGGGGCTCTAAAATTCAGGCAAGACAATTGTAATAAGAGGAAAAGAAGATTAATTTTTTGCTATTTCTTTGTACTTTTTCATGACACCTTTGAATTATATTACATTACTTAAAAAATAAAAAAATTTATTGTATCATCCAAACATTATAATTTTGCAGAACACTTGGAGTGAGTATTTTCTCTTTTGAATATGGCTAATTAATTGTGATAGGAATTAAATATATGGGAAGTCTATGAAGCATATGGATAATAGTATGGTATTTTATTCGTGGGTGGCCTTGGGCCAATTAAGCTACTTTTTATGCTTTCTCTGCTCACGTGGTGGAAAGTCTCAAAAGCCCCAACTGTCTTATAACTGCAGTTTTCAATTGTCTTCATTTCCTTGTAAAAGTAATGACAATCATATTTTTGCATTCATCTTTTTGATGATGCTTTTCTTTATCACTTTTTAACTCATTATTTGATACTTCAATTTTTTTCCGTTTTTTTTTTTTTTTTTTTTTTTTGTTACTTGTAAACTTCTTTTACTGTTCGTGAAAAAAGACTGTTCCTTCCCGTTAATTTGTGCCTTACTAGTATGATTCTAAGAGAAGTTTATGCCATGCTTTGGTGTTTTCATTTATTTTACGCCAATTCATGTTTTCCATAGATTATTTGGGATTGCTATCTTTTTTCCCTAGTCATTCATGTTTTACTTGTAATAACTAAACTGCTTTTACACTCATTTTGTGACTCTGCAGCTTTTCTTGTCATGCATGTTTTACTTGTAATAACTGAACTGCTTTTACACTCATTTCATAACTTTGCATGCGTATATTCTTTAACACATAGGGCATTCATATTTTCAATAGACATAATTTTATTGTATTTTTTCCTCTTTGGTAATTATTGTAGACCTTTTCATTTTGAAAACTTTGTTTCACTATTGCCACTAGAAGATTTCATTCCCATGCTTTTAGGTTGGAAGATTCGAGCCCAAGTTTATCTTTTTCTTCTGATACAAGAAAAATGAATAAGAGTAGTTTCCATGTTGAGGGATTTCATCATGGTTCAAGCAACCCGGCAAAATCATTTAGAAGTGGAATGAAAAGGGGATCTGAAAGGCTCAAGTCGCTCAAGAAAACCCTTAGGTTTGGTAACACGAAGGGAATTTTTCCAGAAGATCTTAAGGTTTCAGAGAAGAAGATTTTTGATCCTCAAGACCAATTTCTTTTGAGAATGAACAGGCTTTTTGTAATATCATGTATTCTTGCTGTGTCTGTGGATCCATTGTTTTTTTATCTTCCAGTATATGACCAAGATTCAAATTGCCTCAATATAGATCGAAATCTAGCATACATATCAACCACTCTGCGTACATTTATTGATTCATTCTACCTTCTTCGAATGGCTCTTCAGTTCCGTACCGCATATATTGCCCCATCATCACGTGTATTTGGTAGAGGTGAACTTGTAATTGATCCTGCGCAGATAGCTAATCGTTATTTACAAAGGCACTTCATTGTTGATTTCCTGGCTGTGTTGCCACTTCCACAGGTTTGTATAAACTATATGGATCGTCATGTTTCTTTAGCTGAAGATTAGTTATCTATTCTTAGGCTGTTGTACTTGATTCCGTGATTTACATGAGTTTCTATTACAATTCCTGACAGCGTAAGGATAAATTTTTAAATTTTTGGCTAAGTAGAACATTTATTTTTCTTATTAGTAGCACTTGTGGAAATGCGGGCTCAGCTGTTTGTAAACTGTTTTTTGCCTACTGTGTATTCCTGTACATCATTTCTAATATATACATGTACAAACACATTTGAATATCATCAAGCACAGAAAAGCATAAAATATTTACTATTGGATATTTTGCACTGAACAAACTGGAAACTGGGTAATCGGGTTTTGAACTGAGAGATTATTACTTCCCAAATTACATGGATGCATTCTCACATATGTTTGCATTTTGGGTAGGAAAAGGTATGTTGCCTTATTCATATAATTTGGAAGGTAATATCCCAGCTCAAACTCTGATCTCTCAGTTTCGATGGAATAGTAAATATTTTATAGTTTTCTGTCAATTGTAATATTCAAATTCTAATTTCTTCTTGATTTGTTAAAAAAAGTAACCTACACTAACCTATCCTGGTTATCTATACTGATCATCTAATTCTTTTATTTCAATATAATATATACCTAGTGGTAATTGATTAACTAGTTTGTTTATCGGTTCCTGGTTTGATGTAGCTCAATCTGTTCAGGACGTTTATTTGTTAAAAGTTATATGGCAAATATATACATGAACATTTTTGTGGACGAGTAACTCTATTTTTGGAGAGGTGGTTTAACAAACATCTAAGAATTTCGACTTGACATTTGAGCCATTTCAACCATTTCACCATGAAAATATCTTGTATATAATAATTTATGGATCAAGCTGAAGAGAGATTATGATTGATTCAATATTATGTATACCCCTCTTATAGGGTCTTTATAGAACATTTTTGTGGACGAGTAACTCTTTGTTTTTAGAGGTGGCTTAACAAACATCTAGGAATTTTGATTTGACATTTGAGTCACTTCACCATGAAAATATCTTGCATATAATAAATTAAGGATAAAGCTGAAGATAGATTACGGTTGATTCAATATTATATCTACTCCTAAGCTATGTTTTTCAAATGAATATTGCTTATATTTTATGTAAAAGTGATAATGTGGATATATGCAGCCTTGATTTATTATTATTATTATTTTTTAAACACATGTAGCTATGATTCTTACCTTTGATGATTGCTCTTAGTAAGAGTGAATATGGAGGAACTAAGAGAACTGTAGCACGCATTTTAAGTGGCGAAGTATTATCTTTATGGATCTTTTCGTTGCTGTTATAAGCATGGCTCAGTATGTAAACCAAAGAAGTTATAAAAATTTTAGGAACCTACAACTAGGAAAATTCTTCTCTCTTATAAAAGGAAAGTTGATGTAGAAGAGCTTATTCTTTAAGCAATACAAGGTAAGAGTCCATCATCATAAACATCAGCTAAAGCAATAGATTGATTAGCATAAAATTAAGGCTAATTTAGTGGTAGCAACAGGCTGGATACTTTCATGGGAACCCTGAACCTAATATTTTGACAAATATGACAGAACATAACAAATATTTAGGAACTCTTTGTAATTTGTACTTCAAGTATTACATATGCGGCACCCAACATCTTGATTAAATGTTCATCATTTGATCCTTAATATTTGTGAATTAATCATCCTGATCATTACCAAGGACTAGCATCCTTGCAAATGAATGGGCATCTATAATTTTACAGTTACATCGGTAAGAAGCTTTTGGTTGTTCTTGAGACGCATTTCTATAAGCTTCTAGAAAAAACAGTGTTCACAATTCATGGTTTCTTTCTCTGCCTCTTTAACCATGCATTTTTTTGGCATTTCAAAATGCAAATTGCTAGATTTTATGGCTAACTTTATTGCTTTCTTCTTCCTTCAATTTGTAAATTCTTAAAAAAGTTGTGCACGTAAGTGCTGAACTGATTTTCTTTGCTCTTTGTCACAAATTATACACAGATTGTTGTTTGGAGGTTTCTTCATAGATCTCATGGTGATGATGTGCAGACTACAAAAAATATCTTGCTATTTCTCATATTTCTTCAGTATATCCCCAGATTCTTTAGGCTGTTTCCCTTAACCTCAGAACTAAAACGAACTGCTGGTGTTTTTGCTGAAACTGCTTGGGCTGGTGCTGCATACTATTTGCTGTGGTTTCTGCTTGCTAGTCATGTAAGTAAAAGTTTTCGTTACCTAATCATCCTTTCAGTGAACTTTTATGCGCTTAATTGAAACATTTGAGATTTCTCAATGAAGTAAAGGATTTATTATGATATGCTCATCTTTTCTGAAGTTATTTGTTTTGTTTTTCATTCAGATAGCTGGTGCATTTTGGTACCTGTTAGCTGTTGAACGTCAGGATGATTGTTGGCGGCTAGCATGCTCTAATTACAGTGGATGTCTTAAGGATTTTTTATACTGCAGCAATAATCATCCGGAAGGTTTTGATCAATGGTTCAATGCCAGCAGTCAAGTTTTGAATAACCAATGCTCAGCAGATGGGGATAATCCACCCTTTGATTACGGAATCTTTTCACAGGCTCTGACTGCTGGAATCATTTCATCTAGAAAATTTGTTGCTAAGTTTTGTTATTGTTTGTGGTTTGGTTTGCAAAACCTAAGGTATGACTAGCTTTTCACATCTTTTTAAAATTTCAGAAGATTAATTTAATCCTGCATAATTTCTTAATGAGCTTAGAGTTTTATTCCTGAGATAGAAAACCTATATCCATAATGATCATTGATTTGTTTAAAGGTATCTAAGAACCTTCTGCTTGAGAGCAAATTTTATACCAATATCGGTTGATTTACAGTGTTATATTTTTTTGTTTCTTTTTCGTATTAATTGAAACCTTTTGTGCAGGGCATTACTTCAGATAATGTACTCCACAACAATACCATTGAGCTTAGGTTTTGTACTTATTGAGAGTCATCTGAAAGTACCTTCAGTCATGAGAACCTTAGATGATGGTTATTTTGGTCATATATGACATTTAAATCCTGGGGCGTGGGACATTTGCTATGGCTCTATAGTGGCTCACATGTGTCCTCTCGCTTACATACACCCATGTTCACTTGGTATGGCCACCCACTCGTCCTCATGTGTTTCCTTTGGGCTCTTCGTGGGGATTCGTGGATGCCTCTGGCGAGGCACCCACCTCAATTCTGTTTCCAGAGTTTTTAAGTTTTTTTCTCTATATTCTTTCACAAATTTTGGTGCGCTTATGTTCTTTCTATCAGCTTTGTTGCCATGCTCGTTCTCTTTCTTTATCTTCGATCATTTATTTGCCTACCGTTCCAATTTCTAACCTAAATTCACCTTTTTTGTCATATATTTTTTAGCAAGCCCATCTCACTCCTTACTCTTTAGCTATTCTTAGGGTTTTGGATTAGCCCCTTATTAGGTCGCCTCTACCAACCCAACTATAACCTGCTCCAAGCCATAACCCTCGCTCTTTCGCAAATGTTGTTGGTGGGCTCAATGACAAGATTCATTCATCTTCATCAAACAATTGTTTGCCCTTATTTTTAATTCATGATCTAATTTCACTTCCTCATTAGTTTCCTTCCATCTATCATGGCAAACCGGTCCTTATCTTCCATATATCATGGCAAACTTGTCCTTATCTTTACTTACAAAGGTTTTAAAGAGCAAGCTAGAACTTTCTATTTTTTTTATTATTGGCAAATTTCCCTTTGACTAAAGCTTAGTTTAGACTTCACTTGAGCTGAATGTTGACTAAATTTTGGAATTATTGATTTCTCTTTCGAGGTTATTTTAAAGCTCAAAACCTCATTTAAAAGTTATATGAAATGTATTGCCACTAATAAAGACCATGCAAACCAATTTGATGGTCAGTTGAAATAATTTTTACGTAAAACTAGGCATTTAGTGTTCCCATGTATAAAAATGGTCATACATAAAAATTTTTCAATAAGTCATTATTTTTAAAAATAGACTTAATCATTGTCATCAAAATCTTTCAAATTAGTCATTTGGTGCTCAATTTTGACTCCGTTTGAATACTTTTTGAACAAATTATAATCTGCAGAGAAAAAATGATAATTTGACCAACATTTCTTATAAAAAAACTTCAAATTGACTTCAATCTTCAATAAAAGTTGTTTTAAACTTTAAAGTACATTATTTGAACCAATAAAATCCCATAAATTTTTTAGTTAAAATTGACATTTTCTCTCTTATAGGGTGGGGCCCACTTTCACCAATCATATCTTTCTATAGAGCTTGAATTAACCAAAATCAATTGGACTATTAAACTCACTGAATTTTTCTCTATCAATTTGACCAAAGTCAAATTTTTTGTCAAAGTAAACTTCCCGACCACCATAACTATCTTTTTAAGAAATTTTGAATTCAAATTGTCATAACTTTGGCTACACAACTCCATTTTTGAAACCGTTTGGATTGTTGGAATCTTTATTTTTTCCTCTTCGAAATGATATATAATTTCAAATTTTTCGATCAACCCTAACAGTTTTAAAGAAAACCCCCTCTTTTTGGCTTTAATTATAAAAATATCATTATCCAATTTATTTATTTTTATTTCTTATTTGTATTTGACACATCATTAATCCTTGTACTCAATTTTGATTGATCAAAACAAGTAAAAATCATGTGTTCTTCTCTTTGACCAAATCTTGGCCATTGAATTCAAATGATTAACTCCCTCCATCTCAACCATCCAACACCCCACTAACTCAAACCCACCCGCTAATTCCTCCACTAAACCAACTGTAAGTCACCCTCTCCCCTACCATTCACGCCACAATAGCAAGGAAAATGACTCTCAATTGAATTCAATTTCCCCTTCCTAAATATAATTTTCTTCATCTTTTAAGCAAAAAAAATGAAATCACTTCTCGTCCTTCCCAAGGCAAACCATGAGTTCAAAGTGCAAGCGAAATAAAAGGAATTCAAATTAAACAAAAGTATGAAATTCAGATAATGTGTTCAATTTAAACTTTTAACCATAATATTTCAAAATCTTTTATATCTTTTATCAAACTAGATGTTTAATTTCAAAATTGACCATGGAATTTTAAAAATCTTTTTCATTTCTAATCAAATTACATGCTTAATTTCATAATTTATCATGTAATTTCTAAATCATTTTTTTAATTTCATGTTTAGTTTTGTTTTTACCATGGATTTTGTCTAAGTGATAATGTTTGTCCATGTTGTTTTGTTTTGAAAGTTGACATAAAATTGTCAAACCCCTTACATCATTATTATATTAATATTCAAATTCCTCCATGAAATATTATACGTCGCATATTTATAAGTTAGGGCTTTTGATATATTTTTGTAGTTCTGCGTTAAATGTTATTACATACAATTAGCATGCTTACATGCTGAATTTGCCTAAACCAAAATCAATTTGGCATGAAATCATAAGATCTTTTGTTCTAACCACATTTCACATGCTAAATATTGTATTTATCAAACATAAACTATAGAGCTTTTGTTGTATTTATGTAACAACATATGCATTAAGTGTTTTATATAAAATTTATTGTGATTCCAAGTATATTTGTATAGGTATAGATGTTAAGTGGCTTTATGTTTGTTGGTTCTATGTATAATGTTAAATCTTATATGAAATATCCATAGAATTTTCTTCTAATTATATTCTAATATGTTTATGTGATGCTATATTATATAATTTGCATGATTCCTCTATAAAATTAAAAAAAAAACCAAGAGCCTTATTTGTATTTTCCTCCTTGGCTGAAAGTCCTCATGCCTAATTACTTTGCTAGCAAACCGAAATTCTAAATTTATTAATAACCTTATAATTCAATTGATTATTATTTAATCAACATAATTAATCTATTAACTAATTAGTTAATACACTTGGTAATTAATCCATGCACTAAATAACCCATAGCCGAAACCTATTTAGCCTAATTTATCTTCTAAGTATTGCTAATCACTTTTAAAAAAATCATTGACCGAAATCTAATCATTCTAAATACAATTAGTTAACATATAATCCATTCCTAATTCCCCATTTAAACTCTTGGTTGAAACCTTAACTCACCTAAAATCTTTCTAATCCATTAATTAACCACCTAATTAAAGCTAATCATCTCTTAAATACCAATACCCGAAAAATAAAAATAAAAATTAAAAAAATAAATTAGTCAATCTAATTAACTTCATAATCATCTACTTAAATCACTTAACATTTAATTAAATCATTTAACCCTTAAAAGTCTAATTAGCCTACAAGAAACCAAATCAATCTCTTTCAAATTCAATTATTCTATTAGTTAGTCTAATTAACTATTTAGCCTAACTAATTCAATTAACCTCTTTAACACTCACTTAACCAAGTTAATTAATCTATTTGAAATTTGAAAATAATAATAATAAAAAGAGTGAAAAGACATGCATATTTATGAATACTTGTGTATTAATGTTTATACTTATGTATGTTTAATATTAATGTTAAGATTTAGGTATACATTTATTAATATATGAATGAAGTGCATGATTAAATATTTGATTAAATGAGTGTGTAAGTATGTAAATCATTTATTGTAAATCCTATAAATATTTCATATAAAAGTCCTATATGTTAGGTCAGCTAAAGTCTTTATTGATTAATATATAATCTTACATGTATAATTACATGTGTATGTAAATCATTTATTGTAAATCCTATAAATATTTCATATAAAAGTCCTATATGTTAGGTTAGCTTAAGTCTTTGTTGATTAATGTAATATCTCCTTAACTGTAAAGCATATGAATAATACTAAAATATCTGTGATGAATATGGATAAATTGCATGAAAGTGTGTGATTGCATGTTCCCTTGCTTTTATGCATGTGAGATTGCTTGTTTGCTATCTTTCCTTTTATTAGGCATGTTATAATTAATGGATAATAGATAGGATAATGGTGAATGATTTTGATTAATGGATGAAAAGTATAAGAAAAGAAATAAGACTCTTAGGAATTAACTGAAGAAAAGAGTATGTCAAACATTTTAAAAGATTTCTAAAAGAGAAAATGTTTTATTTATATAAATAAATCAAATGTGCTCAACATAAAATATTATAAAATATAAATAATCTCATTAAATAAAATTTTTTTATTTCAATTAAAAGTACTCTAAAATATAAATTTTTTTAAAATTTAATCAAATCATAAAAAAATTTTATATTTTAATTAAATAAGGTAAAATTTTTTTATTTTTAAAAATTTTAGAAAATGCTCAAGGAGATTTTATTTAATATGCTTCTTTAAAACATTCAAAGAATAATCATGGTTCTGCAGGTTCATAAATCATAAAGATTTTCCTCATCCGAATAATTAGATCTAATCTAAAGTAATATTTCTATTTTTCGAGATAATATATTATTCTTCAAATGTCATATCTGATCATTTAGATAAAACTCTTTCGAGGTCTACGGTATGTACCAACAACAAAGAAAATTTCCACAAGATTTTTCTGGCGACTCCGTTGGGGATGGTTCCTCTCTCAATTTTTAGTTATCTTTTAATCTTTCTTTTCATTAATAATATGTTTGTACTTCCCTTTGAGATTTTGATTATCTATTATTTCCCTGTTGGACTTTTTTTCATCAAGTTAT